AGGTGCTTGGAAAAGTTTGTCAGTTCTAAAAAATAGCATCACAGAACACAGTAGATGCTTGGAAATGTTTGTCAGTTCTAACCAATAGCAACACAGAACACAGTAGGTGCTTGGAAAGGTTTGTCAGTTCTAACCAATAGCAACACAGAACACAGTAGGTGCTTGGAAATGTTTGTCAGTTCTAACCAATAGCATCACAGAACACAGTAGGTGCTTGGAAATGTTTGTCAGTTCTAACCAACAGCAACACAGAACACAGTAGGTGCTTCGAAATGTTTGTCAGTTCTAACCAATAGCATCACAGAACACAGTAGGTGCTCGGAAAGGTTTGTCAGTTCTAACCAATAAATAGCAACACCAAACACAGAAGGTGCTTGGAAAAGTTTGTCAGTTCTAACCAATAGCATCACAGAACACAGTGGGTGCTTGGAAAGGTTTGTCAGTTCAAACCAATAGCATCACAGAACACAGTGGGTGCTTGGAAATGTTTGTCAGTTCTAAAAAATAGCATCACAGAGCACAGTAGGTGCTTGGAAAGGTTTGTCAGTTCTAACCAATAGCATCACAGAACACAGTGGGTGCTTGGAAAGGTTTGTCAGTTCTAACCAATAGCATCACAGAACACAGTAGGTGCTCGGAAAGGTTTGTCAGTTCTAACCAATAGCAACACCGAACACAGAAGGTGCTTGGAAAAGTTTGTCAGTTCTAAAAAATAGCATCACAGAACACAGTAGGTGCTTGGAAAGATTTATCAGTTCTAACCAATAGCATCACAGAACACAGTAGGTGCTGGAAAAGTTTGTCAGTTCTAACCAATAGCAACACAGAACACAGTAGGTGCTTGGAAATGTTTGTCAGTTCTAACCAATAGCATCACAGAACACAGAAGGTGCTTGGAAAAGTTTGTCAGTTCTAAAAAATAGCATCACAGAACACAGTGGATGCTTGGAAATGTTTGTCAGTTCTAACCAATAGCAACACAGAACACAGTAGGTGCTTGGAAAGATTTATCAGTTCGTGTTTTCATTCAAACAAAATAAATTCTTTTGTTCAGCATTCTTACCTGATATCCATATTTACAAACATTTAAAGTCTCAATTAAATTATTCCTAAAACAAAAATAGATACTTTGTAAATAAGTAATCTAAAAAATAATGTGATCAAGGAAACTTAATAATTTTTCAAACAATTATAGCAATAATGAATAAACTAGGTGCAGTAAGTTTGGTTTTGCGATCTGAACGTGCCATTAATATCTAGAATGTATGTTAGAAGTCAAATATACATATCTAACAACAGTGACGATTCTATGTTGACATTTGATATATGCTGCCACCTAGTGGTGAACCATTTCATTTCATTTCTTATCATACCAGCGCCATCAATGGTGAGTTATATATACAAAACATGTACACTGCTTTTATTTATGCAATTCTTTCACCTTTTAAATTATCATATTACTTAAAAAACAGTGCATACTGAATTTAACAATATACCGGTAACATTGCTCGGGTTCCGGGTCAAATGAGTATATACAAGAGAGTTAAACATTCTGTCATTTGATAAGCATGTCATGTAATACCCAAATATGGTCAATCATGATTTCAATACACCTTTCTATAAGTCATGCCCTCTAATGACGAAAAGTTTCTATGGCGTAAATAATTATATGGTACAGATGGTTGTAGGCAATGTTATTGAAATAAAGAATTCTGATTGGTTGTTAAGTCCTTCATCATTTGAATAAAATGAACATATTTTATTGATTGACGGTTGCCGCTTAAAAAATATTAGTGTCTCTTACACCAATAAAGTGTTATTAGTTTCTTATTCAATGATTACATCCAGTATATAACACAGTTATTTATGCCAAAGAATGGATATTATCATTGCAGTCCCCAAATCTTACCTAGTGTCTGACGTTTCAAAACCCTTGACGTTTTCAACAAGTATGAAATTGGGAGGGTGAGATAAACTGAAATATAAAAACACAAGTACCCCCAGGTAAGCATAATTTTGTGTAAAAAGAAGAGAATGTGATCTCAGAAAAGACAGGACATGTACAGAAATGCTAGGACTTGCTAGTATCAATTGGTGAATAGTGTGCCCTCCAACAGGATTGATTTTGTACGATTGAAAATATGAAATCTCAAAAATTAAGTTGAGACAGCTTGTTGAATGCTGGAAGAAGCGAGGTATTAAATCAAACAAAGCTTAAAAATAACTCCCGTGTGCTGAGAGTATTAGAGAAACAAGAATGAATTGAAAATTTATGATTTGGTTTTCAAACAAGAAGCAAGCAACAAATATTTGTCTGCTATTTGAGATACACAACGTGTGATTCACATTATCAAAATTTATAATACATACAAAATAGGGACAGGCAGTTTGGGAGGTCAAAGAGAATAACACACACATACACATAGATGTCTTGGATCCATATAGGGGGTAGTTTATTACTAAAGCACTATGAACTAAGAAATCAGTGTTTTCACAAGGAATATGCAAATGCTCAGATTTCTTTTGTTTTCACACTTATTTTGTTGCATCACAAAAAAGCTGTGTGTGTGTCAGTGGTTTGTTATAATGGCTGAGATGAAGTACTGCTGGTGAACAGTCACAGTCTAATATACTTACTATTAGCAGTTATATCCACCAAGCAATATATTTTGCAATGTCCTCATCTATACATTATAATAAATTGTGTTAAATCTTGAAACAATTGTCACTACAAGTAATCCCATAGCATCTCTCTATTTCTCTATAGCTACTCAACATGTAACTGTTTGCAATATGACAGTCAATTTAATAATACCTGACAACTGGAATTTCAAAATACAACATGTGATGGGTTTCACATAGAAGCAAGTGGATGCACATTTTATGACTTTTCAGTGTTTTGCTTCATTTCTGCATACCCAGACATTATATTCAATATCAACCAGATTTATTTTTTTCTTGTACTAATTTTAACTTTTTAAAACAAATTATTAAAACATGATTTTTACTGTAATTACCAACCTTTGTAAAGTCTTTAGAAGATGAAAGAAACTTCTTGTTCTTGGGTCATTAGAGTCAGCTTGCAAACCAACTCTATGAAAAACAAAATTAATACAAGATTGTATTACCAGTATAAATAGGGGTCTATGTAAATACTAAAGGCATAATATTTAATTTTATGATGTAATCACAAAACACCACTTGTTAGTAGATACGTTGGTCAATACTAGTGTTTTCACCATATACATTATACAAATGATCAGATGACCAATATTACTTGCCACAAAAATTACAAAATAAATACTTGATGGCTTGATCCCAATTCAACCACGTTTTTCGGTAATCAACTGGTTTTAGTGTAAATACCGTATAAGATGTAATTGTAAATATACAAAATTTGTCTGGCTACACTGCTGATCTCACAACACAACTGGGCTGCACTTAATTTGCATAAACAAAAATTTTCATTTTTATCGGTGTCATTTTCTCTGCTCTCATGAATATTTTAATAGTGTCGAAGGAATAAATTTATTATGTCAAAGTTCATTGATGAACCAACAAAATTCCTAACAGTTCAGACGAGATCACAAATTAAACAAAAAGCATCAGTAACCCTTATAATGATAAAAGAACTTTTTGGCTGAGTTTATTTTAAAAACATTTTTGTAGAAGACAATGGTACTACAAGACAAGTGCTACTGTTACACATACATATAGTGTTGGAGGTTGAATTAGCTCCAGCTATAGGTGAACTTATTGAGCTAAAATCACATGCTCACTAAAAGTACATGTATAAGAGAAAATCAGATCTATGTACAGATATGCGAACAATGAAAATAAATACCGTAGATGTTTATTTTTTCAATTTAACAACTTTATTACGCTGAGTCTGAGATGATCTGTTATTTCATTATAGCGTAATAAAGTATGTTATTATATTTACAGTAATACACTGAGAACAAAAAATTATTATAGATTTAGTAACAAAAATATTTATTCTATTCCGGTAAATTCTTGATTTGCAATAATACTATTTCCAGATATTCAAATTTAGAGACAAAATAATGTTTAATCTATGTAATAGATGATACAACAGAAGTAGATCCATGTGTCATGAATTGACAGATTGCTGCCAACAAGTAGCAACACGATTGAAATAGAGGAATGCAGCAAGTTGCAACTCGTTGATGCAACACTGGATGACACATGGATCAACGTTTGTTGTAAAAGAATGGCGCAACTTTTTGATGCAACACTGAATGACACATGGATCAACTTTTGTTGTAAAAGAACATTGCAACTTGTTAATGCAACACTGGATGACACATGAATCAACTTTTGTTGTAAAAGAATGTTGCAACTTGTTGATGCAACACTGGATGACACATGGATCAACGTTTGTGGTAAAAGAACATTGCAACTTGTTGATGCAACACTGGATGACACATGAATCAACTTTTGTTGTAAAAGAACGTTGCATCATGTAAATGCAACACTGGATGACACATAGATCAACTTTTGTTGTAAAAGAACATTGCAACTTGTTGATGCAACACTGGATGACACATAGATCAACTTTTGTTGTAAAAGAACG